CCTGTTTTATCTTTTTTGAGTCAGAGTCTCACTCTGTTGCCCAGGCTGGAGTACAGTGGCGCTATCATGACTTACTGTAGCCTTCACCTGGGCTCAGGCGATCCTTCTGCCTCAGCCTCATGAGTAGTTTGGGGCTAGCAAGCACCACCTTGCCCAGCTAATTTTTAAATTTTGTTTCATCTTGGTTCTGGGGACTTTATAGCAGGGTTGTCAATTTGGCTGCTCTCTGACTGAGTATCCCCAGATTTGTGAATTTAGTTGAAATGATTTCATTTAACTTTAAATGCATGTGGGTGGGCTAACTGCATCTAGTCAGCTCCATGCCAAGTACTTGCCTTTGTTTTTTAGCCTAGACTGTCCTACACATGTGTTTTTGGTTGTGCTTTTGTCTTGTTTCCTGGCTTCTACAGATGTTGGAGTTTGTCTTGCATCCCTGCTGTGACGAGAACACGGCTCAGGGCAGGGCCCAAGCACCCCAACCCTTCTGGCAGCGCAAAAAGAAATCTCTGGTAAAGAGGAGATTAAAGCTGGGTGCCGTGGCTCATGCCTGTTATCCCAGCACTTTTGGAGGCAGAGGCAAGAGGATTGCCTGAGCCTATAGGTTTGAGACCAGCCTGGGCAACATGGTGAGACCTTGTATCTACAGTAAATCAAAAACTTAGCTGAGCGAGGTGGCCTGTGCCTGTAGTTCCGGCTACTTGGAAGGCTGAGATGGAAGGAGCACCTGACCCTGAAGGTCAGGGCTGTGTTGGCCATGAGCATGCCATTGCACTCCATCCTGGGCAAAACAGTGAGACTGACTCAAAAAACAAAACAAAAAAAAAAAAACCTCTGACACAGAGAGTGTAGTGTATTTAGGGCAACTTGAATCTATGTTCCCAGGAAAAAAATAGAAAAATAAATAAATAAATAACCTCTGACACAAAGCTCAGACTGCTGTTCTGATATCTGACCAAACAGACCCTCCAGAAATCATAGTTTCTACCTACCTCTTAACTTGACACCATGTAGTCGATGTGTAATATAGTGTTTTCACTGAGATCTGTCTCATTTAAAAAGTGGCTGGTTGTCGGCACGCAATTTAGAAAGGATGGAAAGCACAAGTTTGGATTGGGATTTGCCTTTGCCAAGGACAAATTAAGTGAAAATAAAGTATGAAACTATTGTACTTTATTAAAGAGTTTGTTCCAGGAAACCTTACAAAAGTAAAAGCTCTAGCCAGATGCAGTGGTATGTGCCTGTAGTTCTGGCTATTCAGAGGAAACTGAGGTGGGAGGATTGCTTGAGTCCAGGAGTCCGCAGTGCACTGTGATCACACCTATGAAAACTCACTGTACTCCAGCCTGGGCAACATACCCTGACTTTTTTTTTTTTAATTGGAGTCTCACTTGGTGGCCCCAACTGGAGTGCAATGGCATACTCACGGCTACCCCAGCGTCAACCCACCGGCTACCCCAGCGTCAACCCGCCAGGATCCAGCATTCCTTCCACCTCAGCCTTTTAAGTAACCGGAACTACAGGCACGTGCTACCACGCCCAGCTGATTTTTAATTTTTATTGTAGAAATGAGTCTCGCCAAGTTGCCTGGGCTGGTCTCAAACCCGCGGGCTCAGGCAGTCCACTTGCCTCAGCCTCCCAAAGTGCTGGGATTCCAGACTGAGCCACTGAGCCTGACCAAGACCCTGACTCTTTTTTTTTTTTTTTTTTTTGAGTTGGAGTCTCACTCTGTCACCCAGACTGTAGTGCAGTGGCCACTCCTGGCCACCGCAGCCTCAACCTGCTGGGCTCCAGCGATCCTTCCGCCTCAGCCTTCCAAGTAGCCAGAATTACATGCATGCGCTACCACGCCCGGCTGATTTTTTGATTTATTGTAGAGATGAGGTCTTGCCTGCCCAGGAGGGTCTCAATCCCGTGGGCTCAGGCAATCCACTCCCCTCAGCCTCCCAAAGGCATGGGATTACAGGCTGAGCCACCGAGCCCGGCTAGAACACAACTTCTTTAACAGAGAAGTCTCTGTGGCTTGTGGTGAAGACAATTCTTATGGCATGTCTTGAGAAGTTTTGGCCAGTTGTCTGTGACTGGATTACCCATGAGGCTTTCAAAACCCTCATGCCATCTCTATTTCCAAAGAAGAGGTTTCCCGAACTAGAAGAAGTGTTGGTGGTCTAAGGACTCATGAAGAGAACCGGCAAAGTCAAAGGGCCTTGTGCAGCTAGATCAGAATGAGCTTCCTGGCATGACATCAGTCAATAACTGGAAAGATGTGTGTCACAGATGTTTTCACTGTCTCCTCTTATAGACCATAGTACCTGCCTGACTGAGATGACTGGCTGGCATGTGAAGAAACCCACAACATTACCATGAAGGAGATCGAAGCCCTCCTGCCTGATGTAGAAGCCTGGGTAGCATGGAAGCAAATAAACAAAATGACAATGAAAGTGACTGTAACCCTTTGGCCTAGTTCTGTGGTGGGCTTCATCTCTTTGGGTCTCAAAATGCATGTCCAGAACCCACAATGGGGAAAAGGCCATATGTGAAGGAAGCCCAGTTGGTGGGGTAGATTGAATTCCTTGAGGGCTGCCGGTAATGAGCGGCTACAGCCTGCAAGTGGTAACCAAATGGGAGGTGGGCATTCAAAACTTTAATTCAGGGGCAAACAACCCATGGGCATTGTATACCTCTCGTCCAGAGAAGGCACCTGTGGTAAGGAGAAATGTAAAGCTAAGGGACGCAAAGGCCCATTTTCTGACTGAAAGGGAGCAGCAGTTCAAAACAAGGTCACAGTAGAAACTGTTGTCCTAAGCTTGTGAAGCAGAACCTCCGCAAGGTGGGTTGAACCAAAAAAAATTCAGTAGGTACCCCTTTCTCATATGAAGAACACCTCTTGGTCCAAATAGCAGTGCCCGTCTAAGTACTTGGAACCGTAAAACGCTGTTGTGTCTTGACTGCTTTGAGTTGCTCTCTTCACAAGCATGGTATGTTGCCAGCAAAGGTCCAGTGAAACCACCAGATATAAGAAACAAAAAGAAATGGAAAGGTACCTCATTTGTTTTATTTTGAAAAATCACAGGTACAAAACAGCAGTGCCGGTATAAAGGCTTCCAAGCGTTACAAGCTGTTGCATCGTGACTTTTTTCTTTGGTATTCTTGGAAAGTAAGGTGTGCTTCTAGACACATCAGAGAAATCCAACAAGGAGGCACACCAAAAGGAGACCAGAGTGTGCCTTTTACTCCATTTGAAAAGACATCCTCCTATTCATAAAAGTGCAGGACTTAAGGGCTTCAGTGGGTGAAATGCCGTAGTAGTCTGACTTCTATGTGTTGCTTCACAAAAAGGCAAAATAGATTGTCTGACATGTTCCAGGAAAAACAAAATAAGAAGAACCTAACAGGAACCCCAACTACCTCTTTCTTTAATGTATACAAACCACGTGCTCAAAAGAGCATTGCTGGGCACTGTCCTTCGAAAAATGGAATGCTGGAGTGGTTTTAGAATTAATAACACCCATGGCTAGTCTTGTTTCAGGGAAAAAAATATAGTACGCTACCAAAAAAAAAAAAGAAACCCAATAGCCAAAACAATCCTTAGCAAAAGAAAGAAAGCAGGAGTT